AACGAGGCACTATTGCACAAGTTGAAATTATTATATTTTTCATCCTAAACCCCCTAACCTATTTCAGTATGGCTCAATTTAGCTTAGTCTCAAAAGGAAGAATCTAATTGAAGTGTATCATTCGCGTTCTGAGGACGCTGGTCGAGGCGACACTCTCTAAGTAATAGGCACGAAAGCCGAGTTTTTTTTTTCTCTAGAACCTAATGTTATATATTTAATATCTAACCTGTAAATCGATTTCGACTTGAATCTCCGCAAGAAGTCACAGGTATGAGGACAAGGACTGAACTAAGGACTGCTATACAAATAGCATGTCTCAAGTGATCCCTTAATGACTGTTGCTATAACCAGGCACAATCTGCCAATATTGGGCTGTTGTGGTCTTGGCATGTACGATTTACACTGCTCGTAGATTCATTCCGGAAGTTTGATATGGCCCAATGGCCGACGGTATTTCATCGCGCGATCATACTGCCTGCTACAATGATAGCCAGCGTCGAGAGTTAGCCAGTAGTTTGAGAACGAGAAGTAAGTTAAGACTTCTTTTTTATTTGAAAAAAATTTTGGTAAAAGCGCAAGTGCTGGTGCCGTTACCTATCTGCAGACAACAATATCGATCGTACTGCCGGACATAGTTATGGAAAGATATTAATTTATATGAAGATAGTTTTATCTCTTCCTCGGGAAGTTTCACTGCGTGCAAAATTTTGCCCTTGAAATAAATAAGCATACAAAGCTGAGAGCTAATCTAAATGTTAGACAATTCCTCAGTTTTACATGTTCAAGATATAAGATCAGCAATATTACTACGATATGAGCACTGATACTCGCATCCGTTTTTTTTTTTGCAAAATACAAAACAAAAATTACTGATTTGACCTTATGTGGCTCCATAAAAAGGAATATGCATAAATTTGGTTAAATGCTTAAGGTTAGTTCAGAAATTGGATGGGTAACGTGATTCTCACACCTCTCCCTAGATGTGTAACTGCCATAAGAAGATATCGATTTATTAGCTTAGTTTCAAGCTTTCTTCTTCTCTTCCTGGTAAACAAATTCTGGTAATTCTCACTTGGCAGATAATTATCTATTCATTATGTCTATAACTGGTTTGCTAACCCTGGATTGTTACGAAGAATATATCATTGCATCCTGTGCAATAGCTTTACTTGATGGCTAGCGTACATCTTGATCAAATTCTATTCTACGCTACGTAATTGTTACATCCAGCCGAGCTGGACAGCAGTTCTGTCCTTGACCCAGATGTTTTCACGCTTTTTTAACGTTGCCTGATGTGAGCGTCGAGGAGTCGGTGTCGCACACCCACTCCTGAGTATCTTGGCTGCCAGCATTTTTTACGATGAGAATTGAATTTCAGCCCAAAGAAGTAGGTCACACCACTAAGGGGCCTGAGCAGCATGTCAGCATCAAGCTAGTCGTCAGTACACACAGAACAAAAAACAATGTCACAAAAATAGCGAACGCAAGTGGCTGAAAATGACCCTCAGAATATTTCAAATACGTTTAGGAGTATCTACTAATGCAGAGTCTAATAGACATGAGCGTTTCATACTGCACAAGCTCACATAGAATGACTCTGGCTATAACGCGATGTCGTCGACCAGCTGCCGCTTGAAAACGAGACCTGCTAATGTATTAGTGATTCTAATAATAAAAGATCTTACTTACGCCCGATATATGTTCAACTAGCGGGCTTTTGGGGCTTTATGGCCATACAATTCAAGGCTACAAAAAGGGCCGCAATATGTCTTAAACGAATTCGGCGCGTGAACTGAGACAGCCGTATACGTGGCGTAAATGAACAGGCGTATCAGACGCCTGCCCCATGGGCAGCTACACTTGAGTCACTTTTGCTCCGAGGTGCCGTTACTCAAAGAAACGTGTTATTTTACGAGGCTCAAACCAGCCTGGCTACAACAGATCCAGTCACCTGTTAGCCCTAATTGAATAAATGACTAACCGTTATTACTGGGTAGAGGATAGTAAAATGCAGTACAAGATTCAAGTCCTATGTACTAAGCGAACAGGTACAGACGTGTGTCGATCTTCTTGGCAAATAACGCAAAATCGTACGAGATTAACTGTCTCGTGTACATTTTGTCTTCTTTTGGCTCTTTTGCATAAAATAGAAAGGTAACAGGGCTTAACGATGCACTTAAAAGCTGAAAGGATCAACTATTAATAACAGAAAGCGCAACGTCTCATCTCGCCTTGGGATTTACGGAGCTACGATTCTATTGTGTTCAATGATGGGAGCTCTGTCTGTGCACAAAGTGCATTTTGTACGCCCTATCGTGTCACGCACTCGGTTACTGCACGATAGTAAGTAGCAGTCGTTCAGCATCTCCCTGTCATCTGAATTCTAAGCTGTTTTAACTTGACCACGGGTAAAATTGACAAATTTTAACAAAAATAGTACAGTTTGTGCAACGAGCTTTACTGTGTAAGTTTAACATATGCTGTAAGTTTAATAAATGGTTGTTTTGTTACTATATTACTTATTCATACCACTAAGCAATTTAAATATCTGCCTTTTTTTTCGTAGCTAAGACACTATTCGAGTACAATGTGAGACCTATAACATACCTTCTTTTTCTGTTGGGTTGTGTCTTCGCTTGAAAAACAAGAACATATTGATGTCAAATTTAAAGACTTTTGACGGCAACGCGTACGTAAAACGATATCAATAATATCTACGATCGAGGTGAAACCCTCTTCGTTACCTTTAAAATGCACAGAGCCATCTTAGGAATAGGCTTGCTCACGTATATTCTTCTCACCTTTATCCTTTAAAATAGTCGATGTGATGGTAAGTTAACACAGCTTGTGCCACATCACTACGCCGGCAATAGAAGTAGTCCCAGTCCTTCAAATAGCAATAACAATGGTACTTCAGTAGATAAATATTCTTCTGTAAAATGCAGGCCCCTGTCGCCCATTCCATTAAATACATAGGTTTGCGTTATATTCCTTAATACCTTTAATCTTCGAATGGATAATTAAAACGATGAAAGTACGTGATGCGTCTTGGAGAAATGTTATGATTCTAGAGGCCTGTATCCTATAAAACTAGCAGAAACCCTTTGTATCATCCCGAAGCGATACAAACATGGTAAAAAAAACACATCTACAATATGTGAGACTTCGTCAGAAAGTAAATTTATAAATTGGGAGATACGTCCTGGAACGTCTATGCACGTATACAAATATACGTGAATCGTTTCAAATGCCCATGTACCCGGAACAAATGGCAACAGACAAGTGTACTAGATATGAGATTTGTCATTCCACTGGTTACAAAGCGAGCGTCTAAATTAGGCAGTTGTCAAGGCGATCATCTGTTGGGTTGATGCAAAATACTGAAATTAACTTTCATAGTTTATTGCTTACCGATATTCCCTTAATGGCCTAATTATTTTTCTCACGTTCACAAGAGAAAGTCATTAGGGAACTTTTGGATTTGACATTCGCTGCGACCGCTATGTGGCATTACCACATACTTATTGGCTCGATTGCCCCCAAGGGTTGATAATAATTTGCCACGTATTTATAACTGTTGCAACTGGTTCCAGTAAGGAAGTCGTGCATACGACAGAACCAACATACGACACTTTCTGCGACTGGTGATTTCCGCCCCTGGTATTTTGGGTGCAGATAAAATGTACATGAAATTGCTGCTGTGCGGACATCGCGAATGATAGCTCACTGTTGTAAGCTTACCAAAATCCATAGTAGAAGAGGCATTTCAGTCGGGTATCAGCAAGGGCCGTCTTACGTAAACTTTTCAAAGCATAACTGACGCTTATGCCGATTAAGCGAACATTGGATTAGAGTTCAATTTGAATTCTGTATAGGAAACTGTACCCATGTCGCACCCGACAGAAATGCCAACCCTTTCGTTGACCCTCTGCTCTGTCATTTCCCGTAACATTTGTGATACCAATATCCGACATTGCGCGGGTACTCCCTGCAAGGTCTAGCTTAAAAGTCAATTTAACTAGAACAAAAACGAAGCTCATTAAAACAGGACAGTTATAGATAAAGTAAATAAACAAATAAAATGTTTCATTTTTTAAGGTAAGTTCTCTAATATCCACTACCTTCAGCTACAGATTCACTGATATGCTTCTTTTAGATGCCACACATTAATCGCAAGAGGATGATTATTCGGCAAGAAACAGAAACAAGTTAGCTAGCCGTTATACGCAGACAGAGCCTTTGTTGCTTTTAATCTTCCCTGTTTTGCCCGTTGTAAATGATCTTAACGGGCATTAACGGTCTCAACCATTCCTAGCCTTAAGGTACTGCCTTATTTATGTGGTATGAACTAGTTGCCGCTTAATACCCTATACTTTTAGAATAATTCTTTTTCATTTTTTAATAGAGTCTTTCTCCAACTATTTTGTCATACTCCCCTAAGAGGCTATGAACGTGTGGGAATACCATATCAAATACCATAGCAAATATCAGCTCCTCGAAAGGTGGACTCTTAGACGCTGTTTGAACTTCGTACGTTCTCATCGATGTATTGACTTCGTTCCATTTATACATTTCATTAAACTGCGAAAAAATTTAGGGAAGTACTTACTCGGAACGGTCGATTTA